GATAGCTTCCTCTCTCTCTCTCCTTCTCTATACACGATAGCTTCCTCTCTCTCTCTCTGCAGGCGGTGACGGTGCAGCAGGAGCAGGAACAGAGGGTGGACATGCTGGATAAGCGATATCTGAATGCGCAGCGGGAATCTTCCTGTTCCCACGACCAGAACGAGAAGCTGGAGTCGGCACTCAGCAACAAGGAGCCAGCTCTCAGCCTGGTAACGATGACAATGGTGACAGTGGTGACGATGGTGACAGTGATGGTGATGGTGACGATGGTAACGATGGTGATGATGGCAATGGTGACGATGGTGACGATGGTGACAGTTACGGTGGTGACAATGGTGACGATGGTGACAGTGGTGACGATGGTGACGATGGTGACAATGGTGACGATGGTGACGATGGTGACGATGATGACGATGGTGACGATAGTGACGGTGGTGATGATAATGATGAGGAGGAAGAGGAGGAGGAGGATGGTGGTGGAAGAAGCTGGAGTCAGAACTCAGCAACAAGGAGCAAGCTCTCAGCCTGGTAACGATGACAGTGGTGACGATGGTGATGATGACAATGGTGACAGTGGTGACGATGGTGACAGTTACGGTGGTGACAGTGGTGATGATAATAATGATGAGGAGGAGGAGGAGGAGGAGGAGGAGGTTGGTCGAAGAAGCTGGAGTCGGCACTCAGCAACAAGGAGCCAGCTCTCAGCCTGGTAACGATGACAATGGTGACAGTGGTGACAATGGTGACAGTGGTGATGATGATGATGATGATGATGAGGAGGAGGAGAAGGAGGAGGATGGTGGAAAAAGCTGGAGTCAGAACTCAGCAACAAGGAGCAAGCTCTCAGCCTGGTAACGATGACAATGGTGACAATGGTGACAATGGTGACAGTGGTGACGATGGTGACAGTGATGGTGATGGTGGTGACGGTGATGGTGACGATGATGATGATGTTTATTGATGATGATGATGATGATGCTATTGGTGATGATGATGATGATGCTATTGATGATGATGATGATGATGATGATGATGATGGTGATGATGCTATTGATGATGATGATGGTGATGTTTTTCTCTCCTCCTCCCACAGTCTCAGGAGAAGATGAACGCGCTACAGGAGAGACTGGAGATGACAGAGCAGAAGCTGTCTCAGTCTCTGCTGAAGGCTGAAGCCCTGCCCAGCGTAGAGGCAGAGCTGCAGCAGCGTCGAGAAGCCCTCACCAAGGTAACGCACTGTCTGTTGCCGCGGCAACCGCATTCCTCGATCTCTGTCCGTGCTTGTCTGTGTGTTTCCGTGACGACCGCATCCCTCGTTCCTTGTCTGCGTGTTTCTCTGTGTGTCGCCGTGACGACCGCATCCCTCGTTCCTTGTCTGTGTTTCTCCGTGTGTCGCCGTGACGACCGCATCCCTCGTTCCTTGTCTGTGTGTTTCTCCGTGTGTCGCCATGACGACCGCATCCCTCGTTCCTTGTCTGCGTGTTTCTCCATCTGTCGCCACGACAACCGCATTTCTCGTTTCTTGTCTGTTGCCATGGCAACTGGATCCCTCATCCTCAGTCTCTGTTTTCATGTCTGTTACTGTAGCAACCGTATACCTCGTTCTCTGTCTGTCACACAGCATAGGGTGTTACGTGCGTGCGTGCGTGCGTGCGTGCGTGCGTACGTGCGTGCGTGCGTGCGTGCGTGCGTGCGTGCGTGCGTGCGTGCGTGCGTGCGTG